ATTTCAAAAAATATAACCATAACTAACAACAGTTTTACTATTTAAAATAATTTTTGACTATTTAAATAAAAGGCTTTGTTTATAAAAATATTAAATTTCAACATTAAATGACCCAATAGGTTGATGTACCGTAAAACAAAGCAGACCAATCCTTGCAACCAGATTCAGTGTTGTTTTCTTTTTATTTATTTCAAGAGAGATGCTCTTAAAATTAATGATCAGAGGAAACGTCATAATATTAGTATGAATACCTGGAATATTCCATCTCCGATTTACTCATCGTGAATGCAAATCCTGAAAATAAACGAAAAGACAAAACTTACAGTTTGCAGGATGTACACACTTCTGCAAAGTCACAACAGGAAGTTAAACATATTTACAAAGCCCAGCATTTTCTGGAACAGGAACAGCTGCTGTAGATGAGAAAGGCTGCGTTACACAAATCTTCCATATGGTGAGTGTCTAACATTCTTAATTATCAACATTCTTAATTGAAATAGACTTGAACGATGACCACATTAGGAATTTCGTAACCTTATCAACACCCAACTAAATCGCTATTTTCCGTGTTAAGAGAAAGGGAAAAGGGTGGTCATCAGTCCCTGTGGAATGAAGTGAAAATACTCGACAAGGAAGAATTCTAGAGAGTTAGACATCTGAAAGAATCAGCGCATATGATAGGCTATGAGGACCTCATTAGTAGGCCTAGCGTAGAAATAAATACAATATGGGAGCCGCTAATAAAGAAAGAAAGATAAAGTCTTCAACCGCAGCAGCTGCAATCAAAACATAGACAGCAGCAATAGCAGAAGCCTAATCAGCAATCAAGACTACATTTAATGATAAACGTTGCTTTATGAATCTGGTGACAAAGGGTTTGCGTGTTTAATCTCTGGGACTGTCAGTGTGTATTTGCACGCAGTGGAAACGGGCGATAAACTGAACAGAATACAATAACAACTAGACGAGATATCCCTAGGCAATGGCAGTTGAGCGACAACAATCTAACCTAGTAGATTAAATAAAAGCTTCAATAGGTTACCCGGGTCGATATACACTTAAGGAAGACCGGATAGCACAACGACCCAAACGTTGTGATAAAAACAACACAGACGAGACCAACTGCTCGAATATAAATAATTTAAATAATTTCATACCAGTGTTTCCCGAACCGTGTGCCGCGACAGAGTGGTGCGCCCCGAGATTAAATTTAGAGCGCCGCCAATGAGCAAGATTATATTTCAAAATATGAAAACATTTAAACGAAAATTCGTCATAAAACTAATATATAAATGTCAGCCATATTGTTTAATTTATGTACAAAGCGCGCCAAAATATTTTTATATATTCTAAAGTACGTGATAAGTAAGAAATGTTTGTGAACCAGCGTTTCATACAGTTTGGGAAAATTTATCTTAACTATACAAGCACACACTTGCAAGCAGCAAGCAGGCTTCTACTTTGTACTCTACATCTTTAATTACTAAAAAGGGTTGCATTGTGTTCAGCTTCAGTTGCCACTCATCTGATACGATCAGCATACCTCTTCTTATCTTTGGCTGGCGATTAGTAAAGATTAGCTTTAATCTTCTCAGAGATCACCCGGACTTAATATAATGCCATACACGTCAGCAGGTGAATGACAATTCCAGCTCAAAATCGATAACCATTCTCTACAGATGAGAATGATTATCTGACCACAGATGAGCGAGATTTGCCTGACACTGCCGTCGAGGTAGAAGCTGCTGGATGCAGAAAATGCGATACATCGTAATTGAAGTACTTGTATTGTCAGTGCTTGAGCCCAGGTAAAAATGACAGGATCTTGAATGCTCATTTTCAGTGAAGGAAAGCTAACATGATTTTGAAAATTGGCGCAATTCGCTCTTCCTGTCACCACTTCTTGAATAACTATTTACGAGGCTGAGAGATATATAAGATATCGTTGGACAATAATTAAAATACATATTGGAAATCAAAACGTAATTATATGAGCTAATTTGGTGGGCGTGATTACTTGGCTTCTTTTTTAATTTACTAATTACTGAATTAATAACAATGTCGTCCGTTGGTTATAGAAAAACATTAATAAACACTTTATTCAATCCACGAAGATAGAAAAGCGATATTACAAATTTGTTTTCGTTCATGAAATTCTTCTTCGAATCTCATGGTCGATTTGTTAGAAAGGTGACTTTTTGATGTTATCGGCCTGGGTATACGGTCCAAGCGTGCCGCACCCTTGGAAGTTGCCTCAAAACCATCAACACGTGACATGTTGCATTAACACCCTTGATCATATTATTTTTTTTAAATAGTGGGTTCCAGCCCGCACAGGTAACTGAAAATTTCGCTGAGTAATAAAAGGTTAAGAACAACAAGAATAAGAGAGCTGGATCAAAATTTCTGAAAGTTTACCAGCTATAACAGAAAGCTGAAGAAGGCTATAGTTATAACGGCCGAAACAACTAAAATGAGAAACTTTAGTCTGAATAAATCAGTGTATAATAATGACTAGAAAGACCTGAGAAATTTTCATGGTTTTTCTATTTAAATGTTCTGTTGAATCTTAATTCTTAACCCTTAAGTTAATGATTGGAATAAGTGCATGCCGAGTTCTATGACAATTCCCCTATCGTATTATTGAATATTAGAGCTTAACGAATTTAACAAAATATTGCAATAAGAATCATAAATATGAATGCTGGTCATTATTTAAAGAAGTAAGGGGATACAAATGAAAATATTTGAAATTGATAACTTTTTCCATTTACCTGAAACAGCAGTTAAACACGATTATCTTCCCTTCTTTCTTTCTTTCTTTCTTTCATTTGCTCGCTGAAATTGTTTTGAGTTATTGGCAGGAGACGTTAAGCACTTTTATCTTCACGTCTTTCTTTCTTTCTTTCTTTCTTTCTTCCTTTCGAGCTAGTTAAATCCCCGTCTTACGAATATTTCTCTTAATAATAATTTTAAAATAATTCAACAGACGATGCTATTTTTTTTCCATTTATGGAAACTGGATTATTCGCCATTGCTTTATTCGGTTTATGTCATTCGATACTGTGCGTCTGAAAATTTCTGCTTTTTATTGTGGTGGCCATCTATTCTCAGCCTTTTGGCTCAGAGAGGCTCAAATACTGTTAAAACCAAGTCCCAGGGAGTGTGGACGTCCCCGCCAGGCAGTACCTCTCCTTTGGAAAGGTGCAGGGTTTATTGCCCTGCGCATGAGACGTCCTCAGAGAGGAGGTACCGAGGAGGTTTGGACAATTTTTCCTCAGTATTGCCGACAAACCCACTTTAAACATTGACCTTGAGTCACATTCAATAGCGACGTAGACGCACTGAGAAATAACGCTTATCGGCGTTTTGGCTAGATTCAAAGTGTAGTATCTGTTCTTATGAGCTTGATCTGATTCTTTTTTTAAGCTTTTCACCCCAAGCAAGGCAAGAGTGCCACTAACACGCAAGGGGTTACAGATAGTGCGAGCAAGAGTAAAGAGTCGTGATTGAGGAAAGGATAAAGAGAAGGATGGGCAATTAAATCAAGGCATCAGAAGATGTCGATTGTCATTACATTTGAATATTTGAAGTCTATAACTGTCAGGGAACTAAGTAAGAGGAAGGGAATACCACGGACGGGAGGTGCGAGACACGAAGCTATTGGAGTAGAAGAGACGGCTACATTTAACCGTTTCGACAGTGAAAGGGTGGGACTGAGATGCCAGCCTAGTAGCACGCTTAAATTCATGCAGTTTGGGAACCAGCGAAAATAACTCTCTCTCTCTCTCTCTCTCTCTCTCTCTCTCTCTAGTTCAATTTTTATAATAGAATATTTTCTCAATTTAAAAAAATTCTTTACATTCGAAGAATAAAAAGTGTAGCGTTATAATGGCACATCGCTTAAGCGATCATGTATCTTTCGTAGTTGTCATTTCTTTCTACGGTAGATTATCCAAGGTTATAGAACCTGGTCTTTCCAGCTATTTTACCCATAGCTGGGATGAGAAGAAGAGAATTCATACCTTTCCCAAGGTTATTAGCACGTAAGTGAATGTAACGGATTCGACTGGAATTCGAACTCGGCTCTACCGATTCCTCAATCCGAGCCGGTATCCATTACTCCACCGTACCTCCTACCGCTCTCCGATGAGTTCATTTATATAACAGAATGTATGTGTGAGTTCACGTGTGTACATGCATTTGAACGTGTATTTATGTGCTCATATATTAAATAATGCGTGCGTATTTCTGTATGTCTAAAAGTGCATGCGAATATACCTACACATGAGTGTATGTATGTGCATACATTAGTGTATGTTTGCGTATATATATATATGCTTGTGTACGTGAATGTATTCAGTGCACATAGCATCATGCATGTATCTGCGTAAGTCCGTGTGTAATTCTGTGTGTATGCATGCATATGTGCGTTTTTCTATGCCGGGGTGTACGTGTGCCTACAGTGGTGCGTGTACATGCATGTACAATGATTGCGTATGAATGGGTGTACACACTTCTGCGCGTGTCTGCATTCGTTTCTTCGACATATTCGTTCGATTTTAATCTTACAGTTGGAAAATGTAGATATTTTTAATGTCCTCCCTCAACCTCGACTCCATGAATGACGGGCTTAAAATATTTGTTTGCTTAGAGCAAGGAGGGAAAAAATTATTGTTGTAAACATAAAAGAGTGAAATAATTTTGACTCAAATGTTTTGTCATATTCTTTTTCTTCGGGAAGCAACAGTTTCATATTTTCCGTTTTTATATCGAAATGTTTATATTTGCAAATCAATTGTTTTCAAATTTACACTTGTAAAAAAAAAATACCCGATCAACGTATAAAAACTTTTGTTTGAAATGAATTGATGTAAATCTATTATATATATATTCTCGATCCTATTATATAGTTTCGATTTATGGCAATAAACAATATATGAAAGTAAGGCTATATCCGTTCATGTACATATATCTTTATTTGTTGATCCCTCTATTAT